CAACTAAAAATTACTTGTTTCCAATATGTCCAATTTAAGAAAAGACAGATCTCTTTTTCAAAGAAAAGCCTTGGAGTTTTATTAACAGTACCTCTATCTAGTAATCACTAAGTACACATGAAAAGATAACAAATGTTGGGCAGCGCCTATGGCTAAAAGGATTATGGCGCTAGCCCCATATACCAGAGGTGGCAGGTTCAAACCCAGCCCTGGCCGAAAACTGCAAAAAAAAAAAGATAACAAATGTTCAAGTACTATGGATGACTTTTCATTATTTCTTAACTCCTGTTTTATCGGTATGTGGTTTAGTTAGAAAGTTCTTTTATAATTCATTTGTAATCTTTTAATTAAAAAATGTAAAGCATACATTTAAATTAACCTTGGTTAAAGTATTCCTTCATAATGCATAGTACCTTTTTTTCATTTAAAACTTAAAACTATATTTAAATCATGCTATGTTATTGAAAAAAGTAAAAAAAACCTACAGTTATTTTCATTACTTTCAATTCCTCTCTGCTGTCAGGATGCATAGATGTGCTCTTTGTATTAATAATTGATGTGTATGTATTATTTGGTATCCTGCTTCTGTTACTATAGTATTTGCATTTTTAGTTCCATGTGTCAATACTGTCAAAATATTTATTTTAAGTGGCAATACAATAATAGTTCACATTGACCCAGCTGTTGTGCCTGTCACTATGCTAAGCACTTGTTATTGTCCCATTTTATCCTCATAATAACTCTGAGTTAGGTGCTATTATTATCATCTCCATTTTGCCATTTGGGAAACAGAAGGTCAGGGAGCTTATGTCCCTTCAAGGTCAGCATACTAAGTGGCAATGCTGGTCTCAGACCAAGGTGTGACTGATCGCAAAGGTGAGAAACTATCTTCCCTTGATTTTTTGATTTAAGCTGGTCACCTGTCTTTGCATGGACCCCGCAGGAAAACAGAAGAAGCAGGATCAGCCAGTGGAAGAGGTGTTAGAAGAGCTACGGGCCAAGCTAAAGTGGACCCAAGGGCAGCTGGAAGCCCAGAGGGAGGCTGAGAGGCAGCGGCAGCTCCAGGTGGGCATGGAGAGGAAATGCCAGGGAGACGTGGGTCACGAACTACCCAGGAGACCCAGGATGAGCATCAGTCCCAAGGGACCAAAATTCTGGCTGATTTTTCAGAGCCAGGGGTCAGAGCTGGGATAGTGCCGTCTTGGACGTGGCAAATGATTCTAGGTAGTCTAAAAAGGAAAATCAAATTGTTTTTGCAGGACCTGTGTGGACAAAGCTAGAGCTAGAGATGCAGTTCCTGCATTAGTTGGTACCCTCTGAGGACATTTGGTCCTGAATTTTAACTTTTTTCTCTTTTTCTTTCTTTCTTTTTTTTGCAGTTTTTGTCTGGGGCTGGGTTTGAACCCACCACCTGTGGCATATGGGACTGGCGCCCTACCCATTTTGAGCCACAGGTGCCACCCCTGAATTTTAACTTCTTAAGTGATACCATTAGTTAGCTTTTTGAGGACAAAGACTGGGTCTATTTCTGAGAGCTTCAAAACCCAGCCCAGAGGATGTGCTCAGTAAATATGTGTAGAATAGAAATATATAAACTTGTCCCACTCATTCCTTCATTTATTCATTCATCACTTATCCCCCCCGCGTGCATTTATTTTGCCCCAGCTGTGTCAGGCATCGTGAGGAATACAGGCATGCCTTGTTTTACTGTGATTTGCAAATATTGTGTGTATGAATTGAAAGTTTGTGGCAACTCCACATCCCACAAATTTAGTAGCACCATTTCCCCAACAGGATGAGCTCACTTTATGTCTCTGTGTCACATTTTGGTAATTATCTCAATATTTCAAACATTTTCATCATCATTATTATATCTGTTATGGTGATCTGTGATCAGTGATCTTTGATGTTACTATTGTAATTGTTTTGGGGGACCACAAGCCATCCCCATGGAAGATGGCAAACTTAATTGATAAATGTTGTGTGTGTTCTGACTGTTCTGGCATTCCTGCCTCTCTCAGCCTCTCCTTGGGCCTCCCAAGACACAGCAGTATTGAAATGGGGCCTAATAACCTTATAATAGCTTCTAAGTATGCACGTGAAAGAAAGGTTTATACATCTCTCACTTTAGATCAAAAGGTGGAAGTGATTAAGCTTAATGAGCAAGGCATGTTGAAACTGAGACAGTCTAAAAGCAAGGCCTCTTGTGTCGAACAGGCATCTTGTGAATGCAAAGGAAAAGTTTTTTAAAAAAAGATGTGGGATCTTGCTGTATTGCCCATGCTGGTCTTGAATTCTTGGGCTCAAGCAATCCTCTGACCTTGGCTTCCCAAAGTACTGGGATTACAGGCATGAGCTACCATGCCCAGCCAGAAAAAGTTCTGAAGGAAGGAATTTAAAAGTGCTGCTCCAGTGAACACATGAATGATTAGATAGTGAAACAGTCTTATCGCTGATATGGAGAATGTTTTCAGGGTCTAGGTAGATCAAACCAGCTACAACATTCCCTCAAGTCAAAGCCTAATCCAGAGCAAGGTCCTAACTCTCTTCACTTCTGTGAAGACCGAGAGAGGTGAGAAAGCTGCAAAGAAAAGCTGGAAGCTGGCCGAGGTTGGTTTGTGAAGTTTAAGGAAAGATGCCATCTCCATAACATAGTGCTGATGTAGACGTTGTCACAGTTATGCAAAAGATCTTAGCTCCATCATTGATAAAGACTGCTACCCTAAAAAAACTTTTCTTTTTTGATTGCGTTTGTTAAAATCCCTCTTATAATCCTGTCGCATCCCTAAGAGGTGTGTCATACATCATGACCTCCTCTCCCCAACCTGCCTCCCCTCTTCCCCACTTGCTCATTCCTCTACCCTGCCTTGTATTGTCTCATCTACTGCCTTCATATTAGAATTGAATACATTGGATTCTTGCTTCTCCATTCTTGGGATGCTTTACTAAGAAGAATGTGTTCCACCTCCATCCAGGTTAATATAAAAGATGTAATGTCTATCTTTTTTTAATGGCTGAATAGTATTCCATGGTATATATATACCACAGCTTTTTTTTTTTTTTTAAAGAGACAGAGTCTCACTTTATTGCCCTTAGTAGAGTGCTGTGGCATCACAGCTCCCAGCAACCTCAAACTCCTGGGCTTAGGCGATTCTCTTGCCTCAGCCTCTCGAGTAGCTGGGACTACAGGTGCTCGCCATAATGCCCGGCAATTTTTTGTTGTGGTTTGGCTGGGGCCAGGTTTGAACCCATCACCCTTATATGGGGCCAGAGCCCTACCACTGAGCCATAGGTGCTGCCCCAGCTTGTTAATCCATTCCTGAGTTGGGGCATTTAGGTTGTTTCCACATTTTGGCAATTGTAAATTGCACTGTGATAAACAGTGTACTGCAGATGTCCTTATGATAAAAGAATTTTTGTTTTCTTCTGGGTAGATACCTAGTAATAGCATTGCAGGTTCATATGGAGGTCTAATTTGAGTTCTTTGAGGGCTCTCCATACTTCCTTCCAAAAAGGTTGTATTAGTTTGCAGTCTCA